TATCTTTAATGAAGATATATACACATATTTTCCAATTCTTTTCAGGTTTTATTGTCTCACTTAGTGATTTACAAAAGGCTCTAAAAAGTGTGCAAACCTCTGCTAATAGCTCAGGTTATGCTATACAAGTATGTCACTTGTATGGCAGTTTATTTGGTCCACAGGATTCCAAATCATTTTTCACTACATTCAGGCATTCACCCATTCATGTGCCGATGGGAAGATGCTGTGAAATTCTACTCACACACATATTTCCAGAGTTTATATACAAAATAGAATGACATTGTTGCAACATTGTGTACACCCTTCAATTAAAAGTCTGGTGAAGCTGAATTTTAGGTATTGTCACACCACCAATAACCACTTGTCTGGAGACCAAGCATTGCTAAAGTCTCTCTTGACAGTCAACATGCAGCAGAAGATTACTAGAAATAATGGTCAAAAAGATAAAAAGTGTCAATCAGGATGAGGTACATGCTGTCAAATTTGTAGAAACAGCTAAAATCTACTTGCAAAACTAGAACAGTAAACAGATGCTGAAAGACGTCCCCAAACACCATGTAAAGCACCAGAAGCGCTGTTTTTTAAATTCATCGTCCATCTGTTCCTGCTCCACTTGATCTCCTCGAACACATTCATAACAAACACGCAGCTTTCTGAACACAAATTACTAAGCAAGCAACGAGGCACAGCAGAGTACCACACATATTCTCAAGAAATACACCGCAGGCTGTAAGACCTCATTGGGTCTATGGTGTAATGAGTGGATAGATGGTACCAGAGATAAAGGAATCATTTGACTTTTTTTTTTGTTCTGATTCGCTGAGGTGAACAGCGACATGTGCAACCCATGAGCAAAAATACATGCTGAATAATCTTCAGATATCCAGCAAAATCTAAAATGAGATCACCATAAGTTTTTGGTAGTTTATTTTCCATTCTTCAATGAGTCACATGCAGAATATTAAAAGACACTGTCAGCATTATTGAGGCGAATAGTTTTGGTGTTTTATCATCAAGCTTATTTTGCACATTAATAACTCCTCATCCTACACACATCTCTTGTGACCGCTCCCCAAGACATCAATCTTTAAATCATCTAAATGACTTCATCTTTGCTTTCCCTAACAGGGATAGATGGGCTTAAATCCTTCTATAAATCCAGACAGCAATCAAAACAAAGGCTGATAAAATGACCAGAAGAAAAACTGTCTGTCCAAACAGCAGCAGACAGCATGTGACCCCCCCGTCTGCTGGTTGGTTGGTTTTGATGCAACAGGATTTGGTTGGAGGAGGTAGAAGAGGGGGGTGGTCTATTGTGGCTGTCTGCTTACCAGACACTCACAGCCAGTCAGCTGGCACACACCAGACCAGGTTTGCCTGATCCTCGTCACATGCACGGGATGTGGGATCTGTCAGAAATTCGCCTGCCACATGCTTTGGCAGGCTTCCCTGGTTTATAATGACATAAAAAAAATGCAACACCCCTGTGGTCTAAAACCTAGACCTTTAACAGCTTTTTTCCAATTTAGCCCAAAATCATGACTCGTCATCCCAGCAGCAGGAAAGCACTGTGAGAAGACACACAAACAGGAGGGAAGCCAGAACAATAAAAACGACCACAAGCTTAAGTAATCTGTGTATGGTTGTAACACATTTCACAACCAAATCTTTCTCCCAAACCAAAGATAGAAGCTGTAACTCTAGCAGGGCGTCTCCAAGGCCACAAACCAGGAGACACCCTGAGCAGCTCAGCAATGATAACAACTGCATATGGCCTGCAGGCTTGTCCCAGGAAGCCGTTTCTCGTCCAAACCTGACAGGTGGCTTATTGTTCAGCTGAGAACACACTGTGCACATTATTTATTTCTGAAGACATATCTGTCTGCCTCAATCGCCCATTGTCTAGTTCGTGATGCAGAAGGTTTTATTAGAAATAGATGAAAACATATTTCTTCTTCAAAGCCCCCTGTGCACCTTGCTAATGGCACAATGCAGAAAATCTCTATTGAGGCAAAGACTGAAAGACCTAACCATGTCACTGCCATTATCGAGGCTTGTGAGTAAGTCTCTCTTGCTGCTGCCAGATAGCAAGATGGGTTTTCTGAAACTGCATTTTTTTTCTTCCACAATGCACAAACTCTCATCTTTATTATTTTATCTTTCTTGAACCAATTCCACAGTGGATATCTCTGGTAAAGAGACATATCAAGCACTTTGGCTTCTCTTATGTAGGATTTCACAAGACTGGTTCACACACTGATGTGGGTTATTCTTCTTTGCGCAGTCTGTGGCCCTGGCTCCTCCCTTATGGATACTTTAAATAGGATCACATACAGATTTTCTATAGGATTAAGGTCTGGGGATGACTGAAACGGGTATCGAAGTGAATTATTTTGTGTCTGATTAAGCATTTCTATGTTTATATGACCATATGTGTCTGATCCTTTTACTGTTCAAAGACCTAATAATTTCTCATTTTCAAATTTCCATAATGGTGCATTCACACCAAACGCGTTGCATGTGTCAAAAATGTATCTGACGCTTCAAATTCAACGCAGGTACACTTTGAATAAAGACCAGCATTTTGTGCGTCTAGTTTACATTCAAAGTTTATGCGGAGGCACATCGAGGGCACGTCAGATGCATGTGTTGAACGCATTGGATGCGTTAACTGCTCAAAAAAGTTCAAATCGCGCCGCACTACATATTTGAAACGTGCCTCCTTGGCTCTCGACGCACCTCTTCATAGACTTTGAATGTAAACCAGATGTGTCTGATGCTCAAAAAGCATTTGGTGCAAACACACCATAAAAGACCCAATAGATTTTTATTTGAAATCTTATATTTCAAAAGTTTATGCATTCTATCCTTAGGAGGCACATAGCATCATAGATCCACCACCCTACTTAAAAGTATCTATAAAGGGCTTTTTCCATTTACTCATCCCACGTCGAGAGTCTCATCAAACAAAAGTACAATTGCAGATAAAGACCCCGCAAAATTCAGAAAGCTACACTACAAATCAGTTAACATGTAGATCCATGGAAATCAGTCTTTGCTGCAGTTCTATGAGCTTGCTTTAGAAAACGCAACAATTCCTCCCAAACAAGCTGTTTACTGTTCAACTAAAAACAAGAGTACAGATATTTTATTCGTTTAAGAATATGTTGTTTTTTTAGTCTTCCATTCATCTATCCTTGCCGGTTTGTCTGCAAGACAAACCTTTATGCTCACACTCATACCTAAAGACAATTTAGAGAAACCAATTAACCGCACAGTGATGCTTTTAAACTGTGAGAGAATGCCAAAGTACCTGGAGAGATCCCACACTTACACTAAGATAGCATCCAAGCTCCATGGAGAAAGACACCAGACTTGCAAAAATGCTACCACTGACCAGCTCCTACTGTTTTTCTGATTCCTCATATGTACATGTTTACTGAGCAACTGTAACAACATTTTCCTCGGGGACTCATAAAAGGTTCTGATTCTGATACAAACCCACTTATTCTGATATTCCCTTCGGAGCAGTTGATAAAACACAGGCACCTAAATCCCAGTTTTAAAAAAACCCAAAACAAAACATTGGCCCAAGTGCAGCGATTTAAATCAATGCGTATGTGGGTAAGGTTTCATCCTCAGTAACAGCAGATTTTCTCACACCTCACTACAGATGTACTTACAGCCATTTGGGTTAACAGTCATTTGAAATATTGCCTCCCTGAGAAGCAAACTTGTGGTAGCTGGAGTTCAGCCAGTCCATTTCTAGAGTCAAAGGAAAAGAAATGTTGAACGCTATTCCAGGCTACAGAGAGGCTTTAGCGATATTAAAACACTCCTGTGCCTATACTTAACTCAGCACAGCCTCACAGAAAACTAATCTTTCCCAGACATTAAACCCTGTGAAAAATATTGCTCTCACATTGATCTAAGCTCTCTAGGAGAAAGAGAGAGAACTCTGATAAATCTGTGTGAAAAAAGGGAAATAAATCAAGGAAGTGAAAATTAAGCAAAGAAATCTTAGATTAAAACTGACTGCTTTCCTCCAACTGGAGATGGAGCCTCTTTATTTCCCCTTTTATTGGGAATTTTTTTGTTAGTGTAAAGGCTAAACTTCCTGCAGGAAGACAGCAAAGGATATGGAGCTGGAAGACAAACAATATTTGACTTAATCTCCCAGAGGGGAACAACGAATCTGAGTTGAATGGGCTCCAGAAGGAGCCAGCTGTAAAGCAAGATTGTGTATGAATTGTACATGCAGACTGTCGGTTTTTATTTGTGGAGAATCCAAACAAACGTGACGTTAGGGGAAAGTATCCTTTGTCTAAACATACAGGCAAGAAATAGATAAATACATGCAACACAGGACAAAAGCAATGCAACTACATAATTATTTTTAACAAATATATAACAAAAACAAAATTCAGAGCAAAATTAAACACGACCTGTGAGAATGGAGATGTGGACTTGTCTTTTTTAGAACAAAATCAGGTGGAGAATGTCGGCTTTGTCGCCCCCTACCGCTTTCATGGGAGAAATACACCAAATAAAGTCATTCAAAAAAAAAAAATGCTCAAGCGAGCGCAAGCACGCACACGCGCACGCTTCTGGCTCCATCAACAAATGTCAACATTTAATACAATACAATCAGGGAACATTATTTTAAAAATTTGTTCTGGCCCTGCGTAGTCTTCCATGTCTCATAATAAATAACCAAACAGAGATCAAGTTTGACTGACCTATAATAAGCCGTGCTCACAAATATACAGGTTATCGATAGACGAGAGTTTAAACATGGTGTCCGATTGTTATTTTTTCATTTTGTCGCTAACACTAAACAGCTTCAGCGTCTCAGCGCAACTTTATCCTTTGTGTCCACCGTTACACCAGTTCCGCTGCACTCTCTTACCATTTCGCTCCTTACTTTCACCTACAGAGTCCACTTTTCCCCACTTTACCGGTGGGTTCAGAGCTAGAAAATGACATTCAGGGCTTACCTTATAGTGCGGGCAGCGTCCTGTCTCCGTTTTTAACCCGGGTTAGTTATCCTAGAAGGGGGAGAAACCAGCAGGGGCAGCCGCAGCCGCTCCAACATCTCCCACTTTCAGTCCCAGCCTCCAGACTGAAGTAACACGGACCATAGCGATATCCATCCACTCCAGCACCTATCTCTGCGACGACAACACGCAACGAGGGGGCAAGACTCCGCCCACACCCACGTTGGGAAAAACTCATCCAGAGGGCCTCTGTGTTATTATTCTACACATATTTAGGCTGATATTGATGGGAACTGATGCCACACTTCGGACTAAATGCAAACAATGAGGCCGTCATGTAAACAAAGTAATGTTGTCTGGATGTCTGCTTTTGCGTAAGCTCCACAGTGGCACCATCTGGTGAAGTGAAGAAAAGTTGCTCCAACAAACTAACTGAACTGAGAAACCTTCATATCGCTGTTTCCGATTTGATGCAAGGAATATGTAGAAAAATGGCTAATTATTTTAAAGGGATGCAGAATACTGTAATATTTAATATATTATTAAAAAGTTTATTTACTTTAGTAACTCAGTTCTCTCAGTGAATCACATTACAGATTAATTACAAAGAGATTGAGCTCTCAAGCTTTTATTTTTGTGAGTCATCATGATTTTCCTGCTTATGGCTAATGAAAATATAACTTTTAAGATTTGAATAAATACATCAGGCCAAAAAATAAAAATAAAACTAGAGAAGTGTGGAAATTAAGAGTAAGTTTAATAGATCCCAAAATTTTTTTTGACTTACTCGTATAACTTCACAGACATTTATTCGTTTGCATCCTTTAATATGCCGAGATTTTACAAAGACCAAAATAATTTAATAGCAGAAAAGTATCAGCCAGCAGAAGAATCAACAAATGTACAACATTATCCATACAGCAGTTGTCAATGACTGAAGAAAATATGAAATTTTAGTGACAAAATCTGTCTAGGCTAGGTTGGAAAACAGACAATTTCTTCCAAAGGAAACATCCAGGCCTGGCAAAAATCTTTCATGGGAGAAATACACCTTTTGTGGAGGAAGTGTTACAGTCTGACATAGTCAACCACACTTTCAAAAGCTGTGTTTGCACCAAAATAATAATATGCTCACGGTAAACATGGTGAACTTTTGTGGAGCACCTGTCAGTTTTGCAAAAAAGTACAAGATGAAGAGGAATTTCTTTTTTCACCCATCAAGTCCAGTAAGCGATGTGGACAGAAGATGTCCAGATGGTTCTCGTGACCCATCAGGACAAAAACAAACACGCAACCTTTTGTTTTGATGAATTCTTATAACTTTGTTTTGTTTTTTTTATTTTACTTGAAACAATATACTCTTAAGTAAATCTTCACTAGAAAACTGTCGCATTAAATAATATATTTAAAGAAAATGAATTATATACTTTATTCATTTTTGACTACATTTCCCAGGTATCTGCGTCTCGTGATTACGTCATGTTTCTTCGACCATTCTTGGTTTCCATGGAGCCGCCGGAAGCGCTTGCGGATTAGTTAGCAACTTGTTATTGCTGTAAAACACGCAGTTTTTTTTTTAATGATGTCGTTGGAAAATCCAGAGACTCTGTTTTCATTGGAGCTGTTAGTGGATTATATCCGACTGGAGAAACTCTGCAAAGTCCCCGACGGGATAGCTCTCGGTGTGCGGTTACTGGATTTCCCAACGCTGCTAATTCATCAGCACCGATCCAAGACTGTTGGCTCTAACCAGCCTGTGCGAAAGCAGCCGGACGGACAGCGTGAGTTCGCCTTTAACAGAGGCAAGTGTTGCTTCTTCAAAATGAACCTGGACTCTCTGCACGTCCATCTGTCTGCCACCCCTCTGTACGCCATGGTGCTGGATGTGAGCGAGGAGAGCAGCCCCAGATTGGTTGGCTCCTCTCTGATATCTCTGGCTGAAGCCATGGACAGAATCAAGCTGATTTCCAGTCCCTCTGCTCACACAGGGAAGGGAGTCGTTGCTGTATGCAACCTTTCTGGGGAGAAGATCGGAGCAATATCCCTGAGTTATAAGCTTGTGTGTCTGGGAGCAAGTTTACTGCCACACATCACAGAAGGGAGGGGGTATAAATGCACAAGTACCCCAGGAGGTGAGGACCAAGAACATTTCAAGGAGAAAATGAAATCAGTGAGCATGTGTTCTCCCACAGGGAACAAGTCAGAGTTTAGCATCCATAGTAACGATGCAGGGGATTCAAAGATCCGACTGGATGAGCACGAGGAAGATGATTGTGCTGAAGGTCAAACTAACACTATTGAAGCGGATTTAGCTGCATTCTGCCCCCCTCATCTTTACTATCGTAATACCGCCCAAGCAAAAATTGGGAACGGAAATCAGGATTACAGATTACTCAATCTGTGTCCTGAAGCTTTTACATTTGAAGATTCCATCTGTGAGGATGAGGAGCATAAAAAGAAAGTTGAAGGTTCAGTTTCCAGAGCAGTACACCAGAAAATGTCTCGTGCTACAAAAACACCAACCCAAGAAACGAGTGACAACACAAATATCCTCAGAGAAGCCTTACAGCAGCTCCCACTTTTAAATGCTCTTGTTGCTGAACTGTCACAGTTGACCGTTTATCCCAGTCCGGATCGAATTAACAGGCCAGTTACAGATGATCACAGAAAGTCACCACGAACTCAGTCCCTTTACAAAACTGCAAGTCTCTCTGACATTAATTTAAACCATTTACCTCCTCCCAGAAACTGCTCTACACCTATAGTTTACCCTGTGAAGAGGGAAGACAACCAAAAAGAGCCCTTAAAATCCAGGAAAACTCAAAGGAAGAAGCTGACATATGGAACAACTAAAACATTCAATTTAAGGCTAAAGCAAATTTCTCCTCTCAAAGTGAACAATCGTGAATGCACGGAGTTAATTAAGAGTGGAACACAGTCAAGGACAGCTAAAGAAAAGGAAAAGTCAAACTCTAAAGCTATAAAGTCCAAAAAAAGAGGACTTTTATATCGGGGCTCTAACTTAGATGAAAACATTGAGACTGTGGTGCAGAGTCTCACTGTTGACTCTGCAGTAGGAGAAACAGTCACTCTGAAAGCAAAATCTCAGCAGGGTGCCCAAGACGGACGTACACAAGGAGATTCAGAAGATTTTCATTCACTGAAAGAGCTGAAATGCATTCCCAGCCCCAATCCCAGTGTGCACAGTGACAGCGCTCATCTAAGCAAAGACAAGAACACGCATCACACCGAGCTGGATCAGTCAGATTCTCAGTCTGACTGGGACAAAAACAGAGTTTCAATCCCTGATCTCATAGAGAGGCAAAGCAGCAGGAGCAACAGTCCAGAGTCTTTGTTTTCAGAGTGCAGTAATAATGAAAATGATGCAAACTATGCAGACGACTTTGACAGTCTTGAATCCAGTAATGAATCCTCAATAGCCAACACTCCAAAGTCTCCTGTCAGTTCTGATTCCTGCATTTCTAATCCAAGATTTGAAGGTTACCAGAAAAATCCCGATCGCCACCCTGTACCGGTCAAAGCCCTCAAATCCCCTCACCAAGTTCTGATGGGCACACACATCATCCAACCTCGCACCCGCTCCTCGGCTCTCAGTTGTTCCTCCAACGACGATAGTTGCGACGTAGAGAAGCCATCTTGCTCCAGAAACCAAGCAAAGACAAATGGCAAAATGGAGCATGGCTTTTGCGCTGAAAGTGTTTTAGTTTCAAGAAGTGAAAAGAAAAATTCACCTGGGAACCGTAGCCATGTTGGAGGATTTTCAGCACAATCCACATCTTCTTTTGAAGCTCAGACAGTGGAGGAACTGGAGGATGAGGTTGGATCACTGGATTTCAGAAAAGAGTACCAACATATCTCTGAACTTGTAGCCAGCAAACTCCCAGGGTACACAATGTAAAAAAGCATGTAGACTCCTACATGGTGACCAAAAGCATACCGTTTCCCCTTACAGAGGAAAATATGTTGTATTATGCTTCACACATTTTGAATAAAGGTTAGCTTTTATGAACATTTTCTGCTTTCTTTGTTTATGCATTTATTTATAGGTTATAGCAGAATCACAACTATCAAAGGTTATTTTTCTAAGCAAAGATGAAAAATCCCTCTTCATATTACTGTGTCTTACATTCTCCTTATGACCTTTAACAGCAGACAAGAGTAGCACTTCTGTTTGGTTTTGCTATTTATCATAACTGAACAATTAACTCTGACTAATTTATTAACTAATTAATTATTTGATTAAATATTGATGTATTTTATAGTAAGATGCTGCTTACTTACTTGTGTTAGTCACAATTACTAAACACCAGAAGTGGCTTTTGACTAATTATATAGTTATACTATGAAGTATCACTACTCTCGAGTAAAATAATGTCATTGTCATTGGGAGCATTTCAACTTTTTCTAAAATATATAAAATGACTGTAAATATTAATTTCTTAAGTTTTGTACAACAAAAAATGTCTAAAAAAGTATTTCTTTTTTAGACATACTCTTTTATGTCTAAAAAAAAGACATAAAAATTTTTGTTAGAATTTTGTTAAAATTAGTAACAAAGTTTTATTTTGTTACTAACAAACACACACACACACATCTATATATCATACAATTACATCATTATTTATATGTGTTGTAAATTTTCTAATCTGGGACCTGAGTCCGAATTTCATAACACAAACAAGGTAGGTAGTATGACAATAAAATATCTGAATCCTTGAACTATTTTTATTTATTTATTTAAATCTTTAAAATACCAGATCTTGCTCAGTTCTTTGTATTTTGTCTTTCTCGTTGCACCATTTTAAAATATTAAAGCAGATACTACAATCAGTCCCTGGAGAACTTAAGTTTACCGTTTCACACTTGTTAGGTGGTGTCAAGTTGAACACGCAGTGCGCATGCGTGAACTCTGTGTACGGAAGTGTGTCTGTACCTCTTGCACTGTGCATGGTGAAACCTCTGCTATGTTCAAACACGTTTTTCTCACCGGACCTCCAGGTAAATAAAAACACCGAGTGTTTCCGTAAGTCATAATGAATCAGAAAGTTATTCTAACTCCACAGCCTGTCGTAGTTACTCTAAATAACGCTCCTAATGTTAATTAGCTCGTTTTAGCTTCAGTTATTA